TCAAACATATTGATGCATATTTTATAAATTTCTCTGAATCTGGGTATATTACAGGAAGCCCAGTATCATCACGATTTGCAGAAATATTATTATTTAAAATAGACAAATGATAAGTCACAATTTGGATTATATAGATTATAAACACATGGTAATAAGACCAAATCCAAATAAATAAATAGTGTGTAACGTTTCGGTAACAGCGTTGTTACCATCTTAAGACAAAAGTACTGACAAAAATAATGAATGCATTCAGTATTTCTGGTTGAAGATGGTAACAACGCTGTTACCGTAGCGTCACACACTATTTATTTGGATTTGGTCTTATTACCTTGTGTTTATAATAGACAAATGGATAAATACAGTTGAAAAACAGAAAATCAAACTATGGATCAGTAACATGGATGATATTTGATGCATCACAGAAAATATTAGTGAAGAATCAATCTTGCAGTATTTCAACTCCTATAACCCATCAATAGAATCCACCATGGAGAGAGAGAAGAAAAAACACTTACAGTTCCTAGATATTTATGTAAAAGAAACAAAATATTCCGGGATTCGATCCCGGGTCGTAGATATGTCTTAGATGAAATGTACACACACATGTACATACCATATGTTAATATACAAGAATACAACACAATCCCTGAATGATTGTATCGATTATTAAAAGTCTCCTTTAGCAATAGAACAATAGCTTATCATGAAAAATCTGGTGAGCCATGCCTTAAGTAAGAATAGAAGATATCCTTACTGTAGATTCAATTTTTTCAGAAATTCGAGATCCAACAAACTTCAAATTTGACAGACATTCCTCCAGATATTAATTATGTGATACTCTATATAACCTCCAAGATTGTTGTGTTAAAGAAATCCATAACGTTCTTAAATCACCTTCTAGTAAATTCGAATTATTTCACAACCCTTCTCGTAGGATGTTATGGAATCTAAGTCACCCCTGTACTGATGAGGGCCATAGACTGAAACCATGGTATACAGGTTGTTGGCTTTTGTCTGAATACACCAAAACTGGTGTTGTGGCTTATTCTTTATCATCACTAGTAAAGTCGTTTACTAGGGTGTTGAAAATAATGCATCGCTCTGATTCATAATTGAATTTGAGATGTACTTCTCAAGGTACATATCTTCGAACTGTTGTTCTCCAGGACCAGACATACGTAGAGCACTACCACCACCAGCCATCACGACTGTCTCCTCCCATCTACGTATAAGAATAAGGAAGAGCTACGTACTGGTTCTCCTTGTTCTCCTCAATGGCCCGCAGCGACTCTTCTTCGTCGTCCTCCTTCACCGGCACTAGCGTGTACTGGGTGCCCGCCTTCAGGCTGGCCATAGCGCTGGCGTCCATCTCGATGTAGAAGGGGGCCTCCCCCGACCCACCGCCGCTGGACACAGGCATCCACAGGGTGAGCAACACTCGTGTTAGATTAGACAATGTTTATACGATGCATTAGCGCGACAGATGTTATAAGAATTTGAAACTATTTTAGACGCGTATATGATTCTTTACAAAATGAAACAATTTTCTACTGCCCTTACTGCAATAATAACATAATGGAACTCCGCCTTTGCCGGTCCCAAGCCCGGATGAAAAAGGAGGAGGGGGAGCAGTAATAAGCTCACTAAAAAACCTAGGCTCAGCTGGCTCGGCTGATAGTACCCTGTAAGGGCTACTAATCTAGGGATACAGGATGAGCAGTGTTTGTACTCCATGTTAGGAGCTGCTGCACATGGCGTCTGTTCCTCATGTCAGAGGTGGCCATTTCTTTTGGAGCTAAGTCGGCCTGCCACTGAGTAGTGCTCCCAGTCTTAATGACAAAGGCAGACGCATTCTACTTCACACAGTCATGATGGTTGTCAAACAAGCTTGATACCTTAATATGATTAAGTGGAGATAAGAGAGGAAAAGGAAGGATAACATAATGGAAGGGCCTGGATCATCAGGGGTGAATCCTCCCAGCGGTTTCGTAGATTAAACTAACGAAACCGCTGGGAGTGTAAATCACTGGTAAGCCAGGCCCTCCCATTATGTTATCATAGCATTAAGGACAGTAGAAATTTGTTTCATTTTGGAAAGAATCATACGTTTCTAAAAAAACTTCAATTTCTTATAGGCGATGTGTTTGTAAACCTTAATAAAACATCACCATTTCATGAACATCTATGGATTGTTACTAATGAAAGTGAGTTACTTCTAACACCTTAAGATCCATTCATGGACACTTATGGATGATAAGCTACATAGTCTGTATGCCAATAAATTCCATAGATATCCTATAATAATATTGCCACGTGGAAAATTAGGGAAGTCAAAAACTTCAGGAGGAAACAAAATTTATTTCAGGGAAGGACAAACTAAGAAAGGTAAACAAAAGATAAGCCACGCGGGAAATTTACAGAGTCGCAAGATATAAAACATAAAAATGACCACTCTGTTAATAAAATTAATAAATACTATGTTACATAAATAAAATTGATAAATACCATGTTACAATATGTCCAATTAGACCTTTCGGCCCATAAGCCGGTCTTCCATGAACACCGATGGATAGTGGGATACCGAAGTCTGTACACCTGGTCTTCCACGGATATCGAGGGATATCTCTTCATTTATACAACAAAAATATGATCTTTTGGGAAGCCTACTGCTTAGACTTAAGAGTAGTATACAATTTAAAAAGTTAACTTATATGAATAGTAACCAAACGGGGCTCTGACACATTTGTAAGTGTAAAGTCGAACTGCTTTGCCCATGTGTAAACATGTGGTGCACTTACAGTAAAAGCAGCCGCCTTCTTCTACCCACCATGATTATCATGGCCTGTACCACGTATACTAGGGATAAGTAAAAAAAAAAGCTTATATGAATGGCAGGCCACATATATTCCTTATTTTGTAAACTATCTGAATACGACACAGCGCCTCAAAAACGTCAGTGAGGAAATAGCAAACTCATAGCTACGCTTCATATTCGAAAGATCTTTATACCGGAAAGCTTGGCTTCACATCAGATTCCTCAAAGTACACTCTGGATTTTATGCAGTCTAGATGTTTCTATGGTTTGTACTTCGTATGTATTAGCTTCAAAGATAATTTCACGGGTGCTATATGTCTTCAGGGAGTCGACTTAATAAATGTCCTATACCACCGAAAACTACCAACTTTAAAGACTTTAAGATAGGTTGAAGGATCTACGACACTTGATCTCTACTATCGCTTTTGTAAACGAGATATGTAATTATGAAAAAGGCATCTCCTTATCGTGCAACTGAAAGTTGCTGATGGCTTTCGCCATCTATCGGAATAAATATCAACTATTCTCGTTGATTTATAATTATTCCAGAATTGGCCAATTACCCATTCATGATTATAATGCACTGCGGCCTGTGATTGTAAAACGACACTTGAAGTTACACCGCATGAGTTTCTTTCAAACGAAAAATCAAAATTTATTTCAAGGAGAAATATCGACTATTTCTAACCTTTTTGGATGAGGTATGAAAGGGTGAATTATGAAGAGTAATGATGAACGGAAAAATAAAAGTGTCCAGGGATGGGAATCGAACCCACAATGTTCCGCTTACCGGGCAGATGCCATGTCCACCATTCATGATTAATCAAGAAAAGCTAACCACGTACGCGTTTCGGGCTGTTGGCCCGAGATATGTAATTTTTGTATAGTCGAGATTATTGCATAGAGCCTTTCCAAATGCTTTAATTTTTATTTGCTCCTGACGAGGACAAAAGATTTTTGTCCAAACGTCGAGATAATAAAAAGATTTACTGGCCGAAGTATCTTTAATTTTAAGAGCTATGAATACCGGCTAGACAGCCTCTACCTTTACGACACTACATTGAGTTTCTAAAATACTACAAGAAAGAATAAAGGAATAACACAATGGGCAAGTCTTCCTAACGCGATGCTAAGATTCTGATTTGAATGTTTTCCGTATTGGTTCCTAATCAAGTGATTTGCTTCTCGTTGATTCTTGGCATTGGTCCATTAGTATTATTCAGGGATGGAATTCGGTCAATCATTCACTCCACAGCTATTCTTACTGGTGATAATTTGAAGACCGACATATTTGGTGCAAATTGTGGCATCAAGTCTTCAGGTGCAACGTGTGAACCTTTTCACTGAATACCTACGCCTTAATTCCTTGCCATTTACTCCACAGCTATTTCTACTGATGCTATCAAGGTGAACCATTAGAGACAGAGAAGAAGTGTAAATTGTGACATCAAGTTTTCAGAAGCAATGTGTGAAACTTTGCTCTCTAAAATATTTCCGCCTTAATTTCTGATCAAATCATTTACTCTACAGCTATTTTTACTGGTGTTATACTAAATGACCCTTCAGAGACTGACAAGAAGTGCAAATTGTGGCATCAAGTTTTCAGGTTCAATGTGTGAAACTTTGCTCTCTAAAATATTTTCGCCTTAATTCCTGATCAAATCATTTATTCCACAGTTATTCTTACTGATGCTATTAAAGTAACTCTTCAGAGACCGACATTCATTGCAAATTGTGGTATCAAGTCTTTAAGAGCAATGTGTGAAATCTTTCTCTAAAATATTTCCGCCTTTATTCCTGATCAAATCTTTTACTCCAGGGGAGGGGGGAGGCATTCTTACTTTGGTGCTATTAAGGTAAGTCTTCATAGAGACCGACAAGAGATGCCAAATGCCATCTTCAGCTGCAAAGTGTGTGGGAGTCTGTCCGACATAGCTTCTTAATCAAGTCCTCTCCATCCCTATTTACATAGCATGGTGATCCGTCTCCATCGGCTGCTCCCGTGAGGTCCTGACCCTAGAAGCCGGTCCGACTGGAAGCCTGGAACTGGGACATTCCAAGCCAACTTTCCTCAACCTTCCCATCATCTATAGCTTCTTAAGTACAACTCATGGATTCTATCGTTAAAACGAAGAATAAACCACAAATCATTATGAAAATTCTTTATTATGACACAGGCATGTTTAGGATCGAATATTTATAGATATAGCTTCCTATATATTTTCTGTAATGCTGAACTTCTTCTAGAGAGACAAACGAGCTAGTTTCGCGAGTACTTTGCAATTTGTGTGAAAATGTTCATTTCCCTATTTATTTATCTCTAGTTATTGTTTTAAAAGGCCCCTACGTACCAGTGAATAGTGAATACGATAATTGTAGACTGTATTTTGATCAATTGCAATTGTAGACTCCAGCTTGATGAAGTCAACAACTTGAGTGATTACAAAGATTCTAGAAAAGTGATTTAATTCAAAAGATTAAATCAATACTATATTTCTATTATGAAATTGCAGCCATGAGCCTAAATGTTGTTGTCGTGTCCAATGAGAAACCTCAGATGTCTCCATACATCTCTATCACAGCAGTCACAATGTTCTCTATCTTGGGTGTGTAAAGCTGCTGCTCTGGGTCCATGTCAATTTTCTGTTGTTGTTGTCGTGTCCAATGAAGAGCCTCAGATGTCTCCATGCATCTCTATCACAGTAGTAGCAATGTCCTCTATCTTGGGTGTGTAAAGCTGCTGTTCTGGGTCCATGCCAATTTCTGTTGTTGTTGTTGTGTCCAATGAAGAGCTTCAGATGTCTCCATACATCTCTATCACAGCAATGTTCACTATCTTGGGTGTGTAAAGCTGCTGCTCTGGGTCCATGTCAAGAACAGCAGCTTTACACACCCAAGATAGTGGACATTGCTGCTGCTGTGATAGAGATGTACGGAGACAAATCATGAGGCATCAATGAGGCTAAATCAACAGGCTAAATCAACGTTTAGTTGATTTCCACTAGATGGCGCTCTGCTATCTAAAAAGTTCATGTTAGTGGTCAGGATATGCCTTCTTTATCCCTATATATATAAAAGTCAGTGTATGTATGTATGTGTGTTTCTATGTCGGCTAGACACGTCCACAATACGTAACTAATCCGACTGAAATTTTAACAGTATATATATTAGAATCTGGAAAAACTTATAGTGAAAATTTCAGGTCTCTATCCCGAATATTCTTCGAGTTATTTGCAAATTGCGTTGCAAATTTGCCTTTTCGTTCGCAAGCAGCGCCTCTAGCGGTGAAGATGGGAGGTGGGTAATATCAGCTGACCTAATGTACATGTGAAACGTGTTTTAACAGGACATAGAGAAAAATCTGGAAGAGATATTTTTCGCATTTTTAGGCAAGAAAATTTGAAATTGACAGGTTCTGGGCATTAAAAAGTTGTTTTTAGTCAGAAAATGATGATGACAATATTGCTGTATTATGTTTGATTATCAGATACAAAATTATATCGGGAAAAATTCCAAAAAGCAGAGACCACGGGTGAAACCAGTTCATTTTTTTTGTACGCAGGAACAAAATTCTAAAAGAAAAACATTCATTCGAGCAGAAAACAAAAGCCAGATCATCTTTCTATAAAAATATCGCTTCTCAGACACAAAGTTTGGAGCGGGAGGTTTCACAAGAGTGACATCCACGGCGCCAATTTATAATTGTAACGAATAGCATTTGAAAATCAAAATAATATAATTTCCAAATATCGTTGTAAAATTTACATTTTTATTTTATATTTTAAAAACACACAAAGTTTGGAGCGGGACGTTTCACAAAAGTGACATCCACGGTGCCAATTTATAATTGTAACGAATAGTATTTGAATAAAAACATTTAATCGGGTAAAACCCGGGCGTTGCCCGGGTCATTCGGCTAGTTTGTAATATTTTTCTTTGGAACTGAAAAGGGTAACGAGTGAAATATACAATATATATCAATACCTAGATTTGCTAAGATTTCTTCATTCATTCTAAAATGGTCAAGCTTTCAAGTCCACAATATGGGCGCCAGTAAAATAAAACAAATTCTAAAAAGAGATGCACAATATTCATCTAATATACCGATTTTTAAATAATTCGTTTTTTTTCCCCGTTGTTTTTTTTTTTCGCCCTATAACATCGAAACACACACTAAAAATATATTAAGTCGGATTCTTTCCAGAAAAGACTTGAAATTACCAAGATTGGTTATAAATTGAGGGTTGTAGATATTGGGGTAGAAATAATGTGGATAACAATGGTTGAAGAAACTTTTAACTGTTTCATCTCTGTTATATAACGCTGTTAGATTTCTCCTCAAATACCTTTTTTGGGGGTGATGTCTTTTTAAACCCACTTTAGAGATGCATTGCTTTTGAAAATAGAGCAATCCATAAATAAATCTTTTTTTTTTGCTTATCCCTAGTACTCGTGGTACAGGCCATGATAATCATGGTGGGTAGTTAGCGACTGCTTTTACTGTAAGCGCACCACATGTCTACACATGTGAAAAGCAGTTCGAATTTGCACTTACAAATGTGGCAGAGCCCCGTTTGGTTACTTGCACTCGCTGGTGGGGTTGGACTTTTGCAAGAATCGGGGGCCATTGGAGCATTTTTTTTTTAAACAGAAAAAAGTGTCGAATGCGGGAATCGAACCCAGGTCGTAGTTGTCGAAAACCAAACAGTTTAACCAGCCTTCCACCGACCCCATATAAATAAATCTTTAATTAAAAAGAGATTTATTGGATCAAAATATAATTTATTTTACTAATATTTCAGTTGGCTGAACGCCAAGCTTTATCAAGGTGTTATAACATTTTAATGTGTGTCAACAATTTACGTTATCTGGCGCTGAGTTTGTTGTTGACACACATTAATATTTATGAAAAAAGGCATCTCCTTATCGTGCAACTGAAAGTTACTGATGGCTTGCGCCATCTTTCGGAATAAATATCAACTATTCTCGTTGATTTTTAATTATTCCAGAATTGGCCAAATACCCATTCTTGATTAATCAAGAAAAGCTAACCACGGACGCGTTTCGGGCTGTTGGCCTTCATCAGCGTGGTGCAAGCTGTACCTCAACGACCAGATGGCGCAAGCCATCAGTAACTTTCAGTTGCACAATAAGGAGATGCCTTTTTTCATAATTATGCACCTTATCCCAGTACAATATCACATTTGTACTATTTTTTCATACATTAATATGTTATAATACCTTGATAAAGGTTGTCAATCAGCCAACTGAAATATTGATAAAATAAATGATATTTTGATCCAATATATGCCTTTTTAATTAAAGATGTATTCCTGTATTTATAGAGTTTTTAATCATTCCACATATGACATGGACCATGATAGTCATGATATATGGTTCGATTCTACGTTTCACAATCAGTATGTCACATGTCTATATACAATATAATATAATGCGGCTTATGATTGTAAAACGACATTTGAAATACTATCCCGCATGTGTTTCTTTTCAACGAAAAATAAAAATTTATTTCAAGGAGAAATAACGATTATTTCTAACCTTTTGGATGAGGTATGAAAGGGTGAATTGTGAAGAGTAATGATAAACGGAAATATAATCCCTGGACACTTTTATTTTTCCGTTTATCATTACTCTTCACAATTCACCCTTTCATACCTCATCCAAAAGGTTAGAAATAATCGTTTTTATTTTTCGTTGAAAAGAAACACATGCGGGATAGTATTTCAAATGTCGTTTTACAATGTCTATATATGTTGCAGTTTGAATTTTGTACTCGCAAGGTATCAGAGCCCCGTTTGGTTACTTACACTCGCTGAGTGGTATT